GTAGGCGCAGTAAACTGTTTAGCTCTTCGGCATTAAATTGAGTAAAGATCCCTCATCATATTCCCTATCATAGAGTTAAAGTTTAAGTAAATAGTAATAAGGTATTTCTTGCGATTTCAGTAAATATGCAAATTAATTACGGATTGCTAATGGAGCCAGAACCAGAAATTATCTACTACTGTTTGTTGATTGATTTTACAGTTTATATGCATGATAATATCTAATTTATTTTATGGCATTGAACGCATGTATGTTTAATTGATGTATTTACTGCTGAATCGGAAAAAAAAAAGGTTAAACAGTAAGGAAATTGTGTGATTTAAATGAATAGATGAAACGACAGACTTACTGGATATTCTGAGAGATGGTGGACGGAGCGGGTACATAGAGAACCCTACCGTGAACGATGTCTCATACCAGACGGGGTATGGAGACTTGATAATTTGGTACCTATACCGGATGGGGTATGGGGACGACCCGCTTCACCCTCATACCGGACGATGTATTGAGCTTTAATGATTTGACGCTCATACCAGACGGGGTATGAGAACGGTCCTGTAATTTAGATTGTTAAAAGAAATGATTCACGTGTAGCGGGGACATCTCTATGAACCCTCATAGATACTAATAGGCTGGTGAAAAGAGAAACAATTATGGTTTGGTTTATTGTTAATGGATATAAATTTATAATATGTTCTATGTTGTTGATTATTCATGAAATTATGATTTGTATGGTATTATTATTTTTATAAGTTGTTTTTATAAATTCTACTATGGTAAGTGAACGAGAAATGATTTTATGATTGATAAACGAATTTACTAAATTTAATGCTCAATTAGTAGTTTTTAATTTTATACCAACTTTTACTTCTGTGCCGGTGATATAGTGTGATATCCTTATTGGGATAGTGTAGCTCATCATTTATTTAACAATGTCAGATCAAGAGAACCTGTTTCCAGATCCCGATCCGCAAGAAGATTGCGAGTAGATGCTAGATATTTTCTATTTTCCACTGCTTTTCTTATTTTTCGTGTTTCTTTCAGATAATTAATTCTGTATACTGTTTAATACTTTTAAATTATTGTGTAAGGAATGTAAACATTAACATTTTATTTCGCTTATGCACTTAAATTATTACATATTTCTTTTTGAATTTCCAGGGTCATTACAACTGAGACTAATAGAGTAAAAAGACAAATTGAACTTGAAAGCTTATCTAAATTGATAGCAAATTAACTTATAAACAAGCATTACAATTAGTGAACAACTAACATATAATTTTTATAAAATAGGAAGCAATAATCTTACTAACATAAACTGAAATACTAAAACTTAGGAACTATCAAAATATTAACCATAAAAATTTCTAAAAAATAAAATATTTTCAACAAACAACTAAATTACTGTTAACAGTATGTATCTATTTTATGAAAAAAAAAACTAAATTAATATTTATTAAACTTCATTTCAATAACGTTGAAAGACACAAGAAGAGTCTAAACATAATAAGCAAACAAAAAAACCAAAACACAATAGATAAGTATATTAAAACAATTACATGTAATTTTTTTTAATAAAATTATAATCACACAAGTCATAAGTATAATTATAAATAATTATAAAGTAAGTAATTATAAAATATATACATGCTTGTTTACTTTACATTACATATAAATTTGAGTTCAACTTATGGATTGAAACAATAAAAGTGATGTTTTATTATTATTATTATTATTATTAATTAAATGCATGGGATGTAATTAAAAATACACATAGAAAAACAATAAAAATATTATTGACACAATTAAAAATATAAATTCATATCGATGGAAATTTTTTATTTTAATTAAAATTACTTATTATGTTATAACATAAAGTTTATATTATTTTTACATACCAGTCCATAGATTCATAAAACAAAATTACATATTTATGATATTGTATAATACAATTACAAAAATTTTGAAAAAAAATCACAGAATTTGTCTATTTTATCGTTATTTAATTTTATAATTAGTTTAAAAGCTAAAATAATTATGTTTTTAAAAAATATTAACAACTAATAAATTGATAATTAATTATTTAATTATACAGATAATTAACAGACATTATAGAATTTTTAGATAAAAGAATCCTACCTCATTTAATTATAACTAATAAATTCAAATTAAATTATAATACAAAAAATTAAGTCTAAATTACGAAGTATGCCTATAAATCGAAGAATAAATTAATAATTTGCATTAATATCTTTCTATATATATATATATATATATATATAGATAGATATGATGTTCTAAATCTATTGAAATTGAACACTGACAAAGCTTGATTAGATCCTACCGTACAAACAAAACCAAACTAATTTACAAGAACTGAAACAAAAACAACAATACGACGTCGCTCATTCAGCAAACTTTGAATGTATTGACAGAAAGTAATCAACAGTAAAACCCTCAAGGTAGAAGACAACAAGAACACCAAAACTCATACCATCTGTTATGGATGATTAAACGTCGACGTTTAATTTATTTTCCTTGCTCATATTGATAATCGACTCGCCTTACAAGCTCTTGTAGCTGGAATTATGTGTATACATATATATATATTAAAGTTCTATAATTATATAAATATAGATAACATTACAGTACCCATCACCGATGCATGAGATTATACATACTTTATAAAACTAGATCTAGGGTGTACGTAATTATCAGCTGATTGGTAAGAGATCTCATATATGTAATACTCTATATAGATGCCTTTCTAGGGTGAAAAGGACAAGAAGAAGACTATATCTATACTAAAGGATCTAGGGCTAGGGTTTGGTTCCGATGCATCTCTTAAGCAGCAGGAGCATAATCATAACCTCCATCATCGTCATCATCATCGTCGTCTCCATCTCCCCGGGATGCAGCCGGATCCTCATCATCATCTTTTAGTGACGGGTTATAAGAGTAGTTAATATACCCATAATCACCATCACCATGCACCAAGAAATACTGTGATATAAACAACATCATTGCAGTTGGGAACATAGTTATATATTTTCTTATCTGGGTTACTTCCTGCAAATATATAATATCAAAGAAAGATGGCTATAGATCAGTTGCAAGAGTGGAGAGAGGTGTGATATAAAAAAAGAGAGAGAGTTTGATGCTAAACAGAGTTGGAGGGATGAGATTATATAGAGAATGAACTCATTGTATGGTAGCTATCAAAGATTAGACATCAATACACAACAAATTTTTAGTATAATTATATAATATCAGTGTTAAATGTTCTTTATTCTAATTATAAAAATATATTTATTAATTATATGTATCGAAAATTATAAAAATTATATATTTTTTTTAATATTGTTGAAGCTTTAATTGTATATTTTTTTAATATTCGTAATTTTTTAAAATTTTATCAGATAAATTTAAAATACTTAAATATAAATAAGATGTATATAAATTTTCTTATCATATAATATTTTAGAAATAAGTACAATAAAAAGTATTAATTCAATAAATAAAAGATTAATACGCACAATTAACATGGATACATATAACATTAATTTTTGAAATTTTAGTAATTTTTTTTTTTTTAACTTGGTTGTAGGGATATTTTTGAATTAATTTTTTTTTTCTTTAAATTAAAGTAATTTTTATTTTTATTTTTATTCAAATAATTAAGATGGAGGAAAATAGGAAGAAGTGAGATAAGAAAGCAAAGCATACTCTAGGGCAAGGTAAGGCTCGTGGAAGCAAATGCATGGATGCATGTGGGATGAGGGCGGCACGTGACAAAACGTGCCACGTGGATGCCTAGGTGGCAAATAAACGTGGGTTTATATGGTGCGGAATTAGCTAAAAATTAATTAAAGCTACTCGTGACCTTTATTCTCGTATAGTGGAAAACATAAAGTGGGATGTCTGTTAGACATATGTGTGCATGAAATCTACACAAAATCTTTATAAATACATACATACATACATATATATATAAATATATATATTAAGTAAATGGGTTTACAATTATCAAATATCCGAATAAAATTGGGCTATAAAATTATTTCATTACGGCCCAATTCAAGTCCGATTTAAGCTCATATATGTTAGTTTTGATAAACTTTTTTAAAATTTAATGATGATTATTGTAATTAATGTTGCGTTTTAAATTTGTTATGCGAATATATATATATATATAAATTACTGTATGTAAAAAGTTATAAAATTAATTGGAATTTGATTAAAAGTGATCTGATACGACTAAGGGTATATTGGACCTCAATGCATCAAATTAAAATGTAAATTTTATTTTTATGTAGAGATTAAATTCGTAATTTTTTTTTTTAATTTTGTAATGAATTAAGTTAAGATTATAAAAAATTTATAAATAGAATTTACCTATTGGTTATGTTCCTTAAATTACACGTCGAATTTTTCTATTATGATATCTCATCATCAAAAATAAAGAAAATGTAAGAATTCAAAAAGTTACATGCCAATTAAAAATATTTACAGCAGGACATGCACGTTTATTTCTTTATGAATTTACGCTTCCGTTACAGATTTAATATTTTTGATTTGACACGAATTTAATTATTTAAATTTTAAATCTAATTTTGAAATTCATGCAATTAAAATATAATCAATAACAAAATAATCAAAATATATTTAGAAAATAGTGAAACTTAATTTGAAAGTAATTACAAAATAAAAAATAAAAAAATAGATTCCGGGCATCCGTGGACCGTGCCCTTTGAGGCAAAATTCTTTCGATTGGCCCAGATTGACCGGGTCGGGTCTGACCAATCCATTTGCTTAATCTCTTTTTGTCAGCAGCTCAGATTTAGATTTCCTAAATTTTAATAGAATTTAAATAGGATATTTTAGTTTCATAAAATAACGGTAATATTTTCAAAATTTATTTTATTTTATTTTATTTTAATAAATAAAAGGAAACGCGCTAGCCAATCATTTCCTTGGCTAAGATTTTCCCACGGCTCAACAAAAAGAAGGAAGAAGAAGCCGATGACCAAAAGATCTAATCATTTTCAAATTTGGAGCGGAACAATGGCGACCGCGATTTCCGTCCAGATTTTCCCGCCAATTTCCACCGCCGGTAATGTCACTTCCCGGCGACTAAAAGGAACCACCGGTGCCTATAGCCTTCCTTTTCTCTCTCCCCCTAGAAGTTTAAAGACCGGGAGCTTGGCCGTTAAAACTGAGCGGAGCTCGAAGTGGACTCTCAGACTAAGCTTGGTGGAACAAAGCCCGCCGAAGTCGACCGTCGACATGGATAAGTTAGTGGATTTCTTGTATGATGATCTGCCGCATCTGTTTGATGAGCAGGGGATTGATCGGACGGCGTACGATGAGAAGGTGAAGTTCAGGGACCCGATTACCAAGCATGATACGATAAGTGGTTATCTATTCAACATTGATCTGTTGAGGGCTCTCTTCAGGCCACTGTTTCAGCTGCACTGTGTCAAGCAGGTTTGACTCATTGTTTTTGGATTAATTAGTTGAAAGACGAATTAGTGAATTTTCTTTAGAGAATAAACATGCACTAGCGGTTTTCTATGTGTTTAAATTGCTAAATATACTAATTAAGATGTTTAATCCTGTTTTAACAAGGAACCAGAGGATTATGAAGCCAACAGATTAAGGAAAAGAACTAACGAAATTTCCTAATAAATTTCCTAATCTCCTTGATTAGAAATTTTTTATTATCTTCGTAGAAGTTGATGCTGAAAGATGATTGAAGCTCATAAATTGAACATCAGGATCTCTAAAACCCTAGATTCATCTTTAGAACAATGTAACACGTTTGCGTAATCTTTGACTGATATAGTTGTTATAGACAGGACTTTATGAGATAACTACAAGGTGGACTATGGTAATGAAGTTTATTCTTCTGCCGTGGAAACCAGAGTTGGTCTTTACAGGAACATCTGTGATGGGTGTTAATCCAGAGACGGGAAAGTTTTGCAGTCATGTGGTATGGTTGATAATCTCTTAAAAGTTCTGTTCCTTTCTTTTTAAATGGAAGGATAGTTAATTGAAATTATTAGGCAGTAACCTCTTGCAGCTATTTTAACATGTAGGACTTTTGGGATTCTATAGAGAAGAATGACTACTTTTCATTAGAAGGTTTATTGGAAGTACTTAAGCAGGTAATGTATCTTTTTTTCTCAATTGATGTTAAATGGTTGTATTTTCATAGGCGCATATTAGTATCCATCTTATTACGGATTTAATTGTTTGCAGTTACGATTTTATAAGACTCCTGACTTGGAAACGCCAAAATATCAGATACTAAAAAGGACTGCAAATTATGAGGTTGCTCTTCCTCTTCCTTGGGTATATTGTTATTTGTTAAGACATTGTGACATATATTAAACTACTGGACCATGGTTAAAAATGAAAATTATTCTCAAATGAGCTCAGATATTTGCAAATGAATTCCTATATCAATTCATTGGATACTGTATATGATATCAAAAGGTCTTGTCAAACTCATTTGCACAGAGGATATTTATCTGGTAATCCTGCTGGTGAGTTTTGTATGCCTTTGCTGAACCCAATAGTATGAAGAATATTGGCACATTTCTTGGGGTCTTCTGATGAATTTTTGTCTCTTATCTTTAAATCTTACCATTCAATCTATTAACTTTTAAGTTCTTTGACACTTTTGAAGAGGTCATGTGTCCTTCAGTTTTTCTTACAAATCCGATGAAATTGTTTCTTATCATCATTGTGTTGGAAGATATGTTTGAATGTCAGATAATCTGGAAGGTGGATGACTTGACTTTAAAATAATTCAACAGATTCGGAAGTATACCCCATTCATAGTGGTTGAAACAACTGGAGACAAGCTGTCTGGGTCAACTGGTTTTAATGATATTGCTGGGTGAGTCTTCTTTCTGTAATTATTACTATCTTTTCAGTAATTGGTTTCAGCAACACTTACTATACTTTTACTCATATAAAGAAACATTTTTTGCGCAGGTATATATTTGGAAAGAACTCCTCAATGGAGAAAATACCAATGACTGCTCCTGTCTTCACTCAGGCATCTGATAATGAATTGTCCCAAGTATCCATTCAAATAGTCCTTCCTTCAGAGAGAGACCTAGAGAGGTTAGGCTCATCAGTTTTTCTAAAACTTCATGTTATATAAAGAGATGATATTTTCAAAAACATATGTGTCAATTTAATAAAGGAGAACTCCAGATTGAGAATTCATATTTTCATACTTCAATGAGTTCCATTCATGATATAACCTATCAATAAATATGGTTCTCAATTTTAACCAGCTTTCCTGGCCCTAACCAAGAAAAAATAAACTTGAGAAAAGTGGAAGGAGGCATTGCTGCAGCACTGAAGTTCAGTGGAAAACCTACTGAAGATATTGTCTGTGAGAAAGAGAAAGTATTGCGTGCTAATCTCATCAGAGATAGTCTTAGACCTCTGAAGGGTTGCTTACTTGCTCGCTATAATGATCCAGGCAGAACATGGAGCTTCACCATGGTATAATATAATTTTTCTCAGAAGGCTTATGTTGTGAGTTGTTTAAGCATTAAGATTTTGAATTTTACTGTAAGTATACATTTATGAGGTACTTGCAAATGTTTTACATCTAATAGTTGGTTATCTATCTGATTAAATTGTGGCTGCGGGCTGTTTTGTTAAATTTCAAAGCTTATGGGACCTAATTGTTAGGTTTCACTTTCTTGAAAGTCGAAGAGGTGCTTAGTGTTCTAGTCCTTTTCATGAGCTGCTTAACAACTCAATAATGAGAGAAAATGAGGTAAAACTCATTTTTGAAAGGGGCATATAAGAGCATTGGGAGATTTTGAAGTGTTCTCTCAAGGTTTTGCTAATTTGTTGCTGTCTTGGCGTTTAAGAGACTGAAAACTCTCTACTTTCTAAATTTGAGTGGTAATTTTTTTTTTGAGATATAAAATTTAATGGTAAATAACTTACTGTAGTATGATTTGCATCTATATCTGTGTGTTCTTTTTCCTTCTACTTGCTTGTTGGTACTTCCTCTTGCCTATTTGTTCCTTCATATTCCAGCATGTTAGTTTTAACGATTTAACAACTTATACAAAGTTTATATAATTTTCTAGCATTTCCTATTTATTTCCCTTATATTTTTAGCTTCATTATCAAAAGATTTATTTGTTTAATTAATATTGTAAGGCTCCAGCCTCCAGTATTGAACAATTGATATTTTAGTTTCTTTGATTTAAATTAAATAATTAAGCAATACAAGAGAAAAGATATGTTTAAACACAAAAAAAAAAAAAAAAAAAAAACTAAAATCATCAATTGGCAAATGCTGGAGCTTGACAATACTAATTGAACAAATCAATCTTTTGATAACATGGCAAAAAATATAGGGATAGCAAATAGGAAATGCTAGATGATTTGTGTAAACTCTGTATAAGTTGCTAAAATATTAAAACTGACATGCTGAAAATATGAAGAAACAAATAGGTGAGGAAGTACGAAAAAACTAGGAGGAATAAATAACATAAAAGTATGATGCCAATTATGCTATGATTATTTACCACTGAAATTCAGAGGCCAAGTCTCAAGTCTCTTAAGCACCAACTGGCAGCAAATTAGCAAAACTTCGAGAAAACTCTTCAAAATCCTATGGTTCTCTTAATCATCCTCTCAAAAAGTGAGTTTTACCTCATTTTGTCTCATTCTTGAGTTGTGAAGTAGTTTAGGAAAATGGAACACAAGTACCTCTTGGACACTCAAGAAAATGACACCTAAATATAAGGTTTCATAAACTTTGGAATTCTGTAAAATAGTACCTGACTGTTAATCAGATAGGCAATTCTCATGATAAACTTAAAAATCTAAACACTTAAAGCATAAATGGTGTTAAAGTACAAATTCATCCCTCTGATTCAGCCTAATAGTAGTTCAACCGCTATTATTTTTTGTAACAGGTTACTACTTTGTGGTTTGTTTTAAAAAATATATATTTTGGATAAATTTGTTAATTCTTAAAGAATATTTGAACTTTGAAACAAGATCATGCAAAAGTTTAAGGTTCCCAAAATAGAAAAGAAAGACTCAAAAAATTACAAAATAGTATCCTAAAAAAATAATGAATTTATAGTGATAAACAACCAAACCAAAGGTACTAGGCTGTTCAAAAAAGCCACAGTGATTAACCTGCAATTAGATTAAATAACTTGAAGTGAAATAGTTTTTTGGATGCTGTAGGCTAGGAGAATCTTTTGACTGAGACAATCGGGCTTTTTGTATATGTCTTCAACCAGGTGGAACTTTTTGATAAACACAAACTTGAGAAAATAACTACTCATAATAACATTGAACAAACACATCCAAAGAGGTGCCTCACACATAGTTCGTCAGCCAACAAATTAAAATGTAAAACAAAAGATATAAGAAGTCTTGAATGCCTTCTTTCCCTGCAGTTTTGAATTGATGGTAACGCTACTCAAATATATGATCTTCAACTGAAACTCTAGATCTCTTTGTTTAGGCAGTAATCCACATAGTACATAAAATTTTTCTTGTCTTTCTATAATCTGTAATGAGCTGGACTTCATTTTTCCTCTTTTCCACTTAGAATCTGCTGTAATGTAATCACTTTAGTCCATTTTTGCTAGAGATTTGTTTCGTTCGTTTTGGTGCTTAGAATATACTCTTATTTATGATAGATAACCATGTAGTTGCTAAGCTTGACAGTTAAGCTTACTATGTCTCAGTTACATGTAATTAGTGTACCAAACCTTACTCCTGCACCCTATATTTGATAGTAATATATTTTAGTTCTGCTTTTGTTTATTTTAGCAGTTGACATTCTTTCTTTCTCTATATTTATATCTTTGACATCGACCCTATTGAAGAGGAATGAAGTGCTAATATGGCTGGAGGATTTCACATTGGATTAACAATGCTGTATTACGGTAATCCTTTTCCTCTGCTCACTGTTTCTTGTCCTCAATTGACATGATAATTTCATTTTATTGTACTGATCAAGGATAGTATAAATGCATCGCAGTTCAACAAAAGAAGTGATATGTATGGTCAGTGAAAGATTTTTAGATGCAAAGTTGTAAAGATATATGCTTTAATTGGGTGTTAAAGTGCTTCTCTAGGTGGACATTGCTAGTTGTAAAGTCTTAATTATAAACTTCAATTATGATCTGAAAGCTTCTGTTCTGGGGAATAGCAATAGTGCGTGTCTTTTTCCCTTTGTCCGGCAGAATTCCCTTTGAGTTTTGTCTTTTACAGATTCTGCTTTTGAAGGGCGTTATTTGTGCTGTGAAGTACTTTGAGTGATTTAGAATCAAATACACAAGCTGAAGTACTCTATACATTTACCTTTCATAAATACAAAATAATAGAATTTTAAGTAATCATAGAAAACTTAAATTGATTTGGAGTAAAAGATATAATCTTTATATTTGTGTACAGGATGCACTTAATCCTACATCAATTATACTTAGAGAAAAATTTAATTATACAGTTAGCTCTTTGCTCAAGTTTCTTCCTCTCCTTCAAGCCACCTAGCACACCACAATCATCCTCCCATCATCTTCAAGTACTGTTCTTGATGTCGAGACTCTCTTCTTCTTCGCACAGCCGCTGGCATCTGGTTCTCTCCTAGATGTTATGCTCGATCAAAATTTTCTAAGGTTCTTTTTTTTGTTTGTCTTTATAGTTTATCTATCTTTTCTTGTTTCCATTTCTTACTTTAAAGTAATTTTTTCTGTGTACTAATTTTAGAAATGTCAAAAAAATTTGTGATATGCTAAACCGGTTATTTCTATTAAAAATTATTGTGAATTTTAACTAATTTCAAACAGAGTTGAGTCGGGTCAAATTGAATTTATTAATTTACTTAATTAGTGATGAGACGAGTTCAAATTTAAAATTTAAAATTTTGTTTAAATTAACGAGCATATATATCTTATAAAATATTATATTTTTTATGCTTTAATTACAAAATGTTAAAAAAATAAAACTATATAAGAAAGAACCCTAAAACCTAAATAATATACACCCCACTCTCATTTACAGCTGCAACCTCCTACCTTCTTCATTCATTGCCTCTATCTTCATCTCCAAATTTCTTCTTTTTCTTCTTCATCTTTAAATTTCTTCATCTTTATCTCACTATAGACTAAAAATTTTTAACGATAATTTGTTTCAATAGATTGAGATAGCATTTGTTCATTTGAAACCTGCATGCACGAAAAAAAAAAGATTATTTTTTTTTATAAAACTATCTTAAAATCGGAGCGATTTTAGACAATATATTATGCACTCGGAATGAATTTGAATTTCATAAAATTCTTTCAGAACCTACCTTATTAACATCCCTAGCTAATCTCATATATCTTAGTGTGAATATTTGAGTGCATATATTCTATGTACGCTTGTGTATGTACATATAACTTGGAAATGTTATATGTGCATACATTCTATGGGGCAGGGTGGGGTAGGGCAAGTGTAACTTGAAACCTGCGTAGTACAATAAAATGGCTTACGACCCTGTCCCAAACCGACCGGATTACAATTTTATGCACCACATTATAATTCATACAATGTTATTTATAAAACTATAGTATTCACAAAATTCCAATTACATCATTATTATTTTATTTATATTCACTTACATTCTCTTAATAAATGCCCATAATACATGCATACATACATACATACATACATATATATATATATATAGTCAAAATTTATGGCAGTGTAGAGTTCCAAAGGACAGACTAGTTCAGAAATAAGCAGAGAGCGGAACTCGAATAATTTGGCCCATGCACGCACATGTCCTCAATCTCAGCCACACTTCCCCTGTAAAATATCTTATTATTTTCCCTCACCTGTCAACTTTCTCACATCCATTTTCATTCTTTCTATTTCTACTATAATTAATTATATTAAATAAATATCAGAAATTGTCTTTTTTCTTATACCCATATGTATGTATACATGTATGTGTACATATTTTTACCTCATATTTTTTAATTATTCAAAAATATAAAATAGTCTGTCAAATTTGTAACATCATCATATCGTCATTACATAAAATAATGACTCTGTTCATATATATATATATATATATGTATATCTATGGTATTTGCTTTGGCTATACATGCATTGTAATTAATACTCTATGCATGCATCTGCATTTTCATTTTAATTTGAGAAAAAAAAAGTCTTTTGTCTTTTTTATTGTTGAAAGTTGGAAATTCATATTTGTGCATGTGAGTTACCCATGTGACACCCCAACATGTCACGGGCCCTCATGCATATACTTTACACTGTAAACCCTTTTTAATTTATATTTTCATAACAAAATTATATATATATATTTTTATTAATACATTCCAGTATAATTTTTTATTAAAAATTATAGAGAAATATAAAATTGTATTAATTATTCAATTAATAATTTATTAATTTAATTACTACTATTGTTTTGCTCAGATGATAATTTACTTTATTTCCTTTCTTGTTAACAACTTGTGGATTTTCCACAACACCATAAATAGATAAATGTTAGTAAATTAATTATTTTCAACTTTTAAACAAATTAATTAGCAGCTGCTAACTCGTGCCTTAAAAAGATGTTTAAGTAATCATTTAATTCTATGATTAATGATGATTCCCTCCTTTAGACATTAATTATAAATATTTGGGATCTGGGTTCACCCTTAATTTTACCCTCCCTCCATACATTGAATTATATGTATATACATATTATAATATTTCTAACAATGTCACACCCTGTTTGGTTAAATAATGTAATACACTATTTATTTTAATTATTTTTATTTTTCAATTATTATTAATAACTATTATATATATTAAAAATGCACTATTTTATTTTATTTTATTTAAAAAAATGTTTGGTTAAACGTGTGGACATGCCACAGTTTTAGGTGGCCACGACCCAATATCTAAATGTCAAATTTTTTCATATTTTAAAATAAATATTCTTGAAGTTACGTGTGAAAACTTTAATTACATAAAAATACTTATTTTAATAAATTTAAATTATTTTTTCAACTAAATACATTAATTTTCAATGTATCTTATCAAAAAGTAATTGAGATATAATGGATTGTTAGACATTTAAAATTTAATTAATCATGATTTTAAACCACTAATTAATAATTAATAATCACGAGATTATTAATTTAATTTTAAAAAAAATAAGGAAATGTCTGTTATACCCTTTTTTTTTTGGTTTGAGCACGAAATTACTTGCGAGCAACGTGACAGCGAGGCGGGTGGGGGACCGGGGGGGTTTGTCTACCTACAAACATCACACGGTAGTGCCCAAATGGGAATTGCCAACCGCTTCAGCGAATCACAGCCGTCCGATTTACCAGAAGTGAAATAAAAGTCAAACTCTTTGAAAATCAAATTAAATGCAGTACCGAGCATGACCATGCCGCCTCCTAAAAAACGCGTCAATTTATTTTAAAATTTTAATTTCTTTTTCGTTTTTTTGAAGAATAAGAATTTTTAATTTTTATTTTGGGGTTACCTTATAATTTATTTCATATATTTATATTTATAAATATAAATTAAACTCAAACGTTTAAAAGTTTATTCTAAATTCTAATCAAAATTGAGGAAATTTGAAATTTATTTTTTAATTATTAAAAAAATTCTTGTTGTAAAATACATTATGATTTTATATTTAAATTTTTTAGAGCTATATTTGAAAAAAAAAGCTCAAATTTTATTTTTTTTTAAAAATGCATTATAATTTTATCATTTAAATTACGTACTTTTGTGATTATTTTTTAATAAGTAGGAATGTAAAAATTATTATTGTAGAATTAAAAAGTATAAAAATATAATTAATTTAATTTTATCTTTCTTACGTCATAAAAAAATTTGATATATGATTGATTTATTAAGCCCGAATCTATATATTTGTTCTCAAATGATTTAATGATAAACTTAAATTTTAAGGTGTTAATTTGTATTAACATGAAATCAAAATAACACATTTTAAATTGTTATTTATAAGATGAATTAATACATTTTTAAATCTTGTTAATTAAATTAATTTAATAAACTAATGTCCCCAAAATGTCATTAATAAATATTAAATATAATTATTATTTATTTTTTAATAGAATAAATAATTATTTATAATCTAAAGTTGAATACACTTGGAGAGTTGAGATTATTTTGTATCCGTTGATTTGTTTTGCTCTCTGCCTCTCTCTGTAATTTCCTCTTCTCTCCGTCTCATAAATACTTTTCCTTTTCATTCTCTTCCTTCTCCTCTCTCTCTCTCTCTCTCTCTCTCTCTGGCTTTCTCCGGATAGATTGAAGCGACCTTCTAGTCTTGGCCGTCTCTTTCGAGGTTAGCTCCTCTCCTTTTTTCTCCCCTTTGTCTTTTGATTTTCCTAATGGTTTTTCTACTATAAATCGCATTTATACTTTAATGTATCTGTAATCCGCACTTGTTTTTGCGAACTTCGATCTGGGTTCTCGTTAAATTTCCTTGTCTTGGTCAATTAAGCTTTTTAATGGGAATGCTGATCTGGCTTCTATCGCACCGTAGTTTTTCTGCTGTTAGCCGGTGTTTTGATGTGAAATTCTGATCTGGGTCTGCTGAATTATGGTTAAGAATGAAATTTTTATTTCACGAGTTTATTATAATTTTTTATGACGTGGGTTGTCATGAAGTTTCATCCTTTTTCATGCTGCTGTAAATCATCTGTAGCTGTAATTTCTGATAGAGTTAAAGCTGTTAAATTTCATTACTGAATAGTTGCATAAGTTCTCTGGGGAGGAAAATAAGAGAGAGGTTTAAAAGTCTCCCTTTTCTAGAAGCCGCTTTAAGGATTTTATTCCTTTCTCATAGTCAATCGTTGTATTCTTAAAAATTAAGTTTTTTTTTTTTTTTTTTTTAATTTCCTTATAAGTTTCTGAATTATGAGGTAAATAGTTATTATGACTGTTATTATTTTGATCTAATTTGCCAATTGCATGTTTGACAGGGAAAAATGGCTGAAGAGAAGATTAACAAACCCTTGATCCAAACACCAACAAGAAGCCTACCTGATTTCAAGAAGTCTGTGAAGCTAAAGTATGTGAAGCTTGGATATCATTACCTCATAACCCATGGAATGTTTCTATTCCTTTCCCCCCTTGTAGTTGTGATTGCTGCTCAGATTTCAACTTTTTCTCTCCAAGATCTCTACAATCTTTGGGAGCATCTCCAATACAACCTAATTTCGGTTATTATCTGCTCAACGCTCCTTGTTTTTCTAGTGACCCTATACTTTCTTACTCGCCCTCGTGCTGTGTACCTTGTTAACTTTTCATGCTACAAGCCTGAAGAATCTCGAAAATGTACCAAAAAGGTCTTTATGGATCAATCCCGGATGACTGGTACATTTACAGAGGAGAATCTAGAGTTTCAGCGTAAGATTCTTGAACGATCTGGACTCGGAGAATCAACTTATCTCCCAGAGGCTGTCCTCAATATCCCTCCTAACCCATCAATGAAAGAAGCTCGAAAAGAAGCTGAGGCGGTAATGTATGGTGCCATAGATGAGCTTTTGGCTAAGACTGGTGTGAAACCAAAAGATATTGGGATTTTAGTTGTCAATTGTAGTTTGTTCAATCCAACCCCATCTCTTTCTGCCATGGTTGTTAACCATTACAAGCTCAGAGGAAATATACTTAGCTATAATTTGGGAGGAATGGGTTGCAGTGCAGGTCTCATTTCAATTGATCTTGCCAGAAATCTTCTACAGGTTCAACCAAACACATATGCATTGGTTATCAGCATGGAGAATATCACATTAAATTGGTACTTTGGCAATGATAGATCAAAGCTTGTTTCTAATTGTCTCTTTAGAATGGGAGGCGCTGCAGTATTGCTGTCGAACAAATGGTCTGACAGAAGAAGATCCAAATACCAATTGGTCCACACTGTCCGCACACACAAGGGAGCTGATGACAAATGCTTCGGCTGTGTCACCCAAGAGGAGGACTCCACTGGGAAGATCGGTGTAACTCTCTCAAAGGACCTCATGGCTGTTGCAGGTGATGCTTTGAAAACCAACATCACCACCTTGGGACCTTTGGTGCTGCCAATGTCCGAACAGCTTCTATTCTTTGGTACATTGGTTGGAAAGAAGCTTTTTAAGATGAAGGTCAAGCCTTACATCCCAGATTTCAAACTAGCTTTTGAGCATTTCTGCATTCACGCCGGGGGAAGAGCTGTTTTGGATGAATTGGAGAAGAACTTGCAGTTGTCAGATTGGCACATGGAGCCGTCAAGGATGACACTCTACCGATTTGGAAACACCTCTAGCAGTTCTCTATGGTATGAATTGGCCTATGCAGAAGCGAAGGGAAGGATGAAGAGGGGCGATAGGATTTGGCAAATAGCTTTTGGTTCAGGTTTCAAGTGTAACAGTGCAGTGTGGAAAGCTGTAAGGACCATAAACCCAGAAAAGGAGAAGAACCCATGGATGGATGAGATCGATCAGTTCCCAGTTGATGTTCCTAAGGTATCAAGAATTTAGACTTTCAAATCAATCGCCACGTCATTAACTGGCAAAATTCTTTCATAAGTCAGGTTTAGAATCAACATGACTTTGCATTGTTCAGATTGTAGGAATTTTTATCTGTGTATGAGTGATGTCTGGATGGGCTAGATATCTTGTTTAATCTTTTGGTGGGTAAGGGGCGTGTTTGGCTCTCGAAAACTTGGACGGGATTTAATTGGTTTAGTCTTGGGGGAAGGATTTGCTTATGTCAAGTGACAGTTGCTTTTGAGGGAAGATAACTCTCATTTGAAATGTAGACTAGATTATGGAGCTTCCTATTCTAATGAAGTTTTATGAGTTGAGAGTCATCATTCATCTTTGTCATGAATATCCTTGTGAGAACTTCTCAAAACAGTAATCTAAAACACTCATAAAAAAATAACATGATTTAGTCCTTCTAATCTTCTCTTAAAGCTTGAATTATAGAAGATTTCACAGACTCATTCTCTCAACAAAATGGTATTATTCCTCTTCATTTTCAAAATCTATTTATTGAAAATTTCATACCTAATTTTAACAATATATAAGACATTAGATATTTTAGATCAAATATGAAAAAACCTCAACAGTTAATTTATTGAATTTTTTCATCTAGTTGTGATGATATACCACAAGGTTTCCATATGACAATCTAATAATGAAATGATAAAGATTCCAGACTTACTTTAACTGAGTCAGATCCAAGAGGATGAAATCTAATTTAACATTTTTTGTAAAGGAAAAATCTGTCCTACAAACAAGGCAAAGTGTCTCTAGATCACCATGCATAATACATATAACCCCCCTATGACTAATTAAATCTGGTAAGCGAACCAAATACTGTTCTCTGTGAAAAAATCCAGTTATCCACAACATTTACTGATTCAAGCGTTCACAAGTCCAGCAAATAAAAAAGAAAATAAAGCAGAAGTGCCAACAGAACAAACACAGACATGCCAGACCCGAGACCTACTTTTACAGCAGCAAAGAGGAGCAAATCCATGGTTCTGGTTATAGGAAAGAGGGTCTATATCAACACAAGACTTGTCGCTCAGTTTGGAAACTATTCCTTGGATGATTTGTTGATAAGAGACTTGTGGATATGAGGAATCACACCTCCACCAGCAATGGTTCCTTTGATCAGCGTATCGAGCTCTTCATCACCACGGATGGCTAGCTGCAAATGCCTGGGAGTGATTCGTTTGACCTTAAGATCCTTGCTTGCATTTCCAGCCAATTCCAACACTTCCGCAGTCAAATACTCCAGGATAGCAGCAGAATATACAGCAGCAGTGGCTCCTACTCTCCCATGAGATGTTGTCCTTGACTTAAGTAGACGGTGAATCCTACCCACTGGGAACTGCAGGTTATTAAAAAAATCATAAAGCAAATGACAGAAGTAAACAGGTAAATCCCAGCCTCCAATCACATCTTATAATGGTCGACAGAACAAGTTTCCCTAGAATCACATCTCATTATAAACCAAATCCTAAGAAAATATTCAAGAAAATTTAACTTGTTTTCTAATGTCAGGGAAAAAGTTTCAAGCCCACCAAGGAAATGGAAAATCTAATCAAAAGTTAACTTCTGTATCCATTCTTACATGCATTTAAAGAACATCAGCAAATCACCACCTTTTGATTAAATCTTCCTTTCAAGTCAAAATATCAATGCTCTTTGAGATTATTAGCATTTTAGTGATTTACTGCATGAAATCACATGGCTTTTACTGGTGTATTTTGTCATCAAGAATAAGTTTCTCACATACCATAGGTAATTGAAATCATCAATTATAGCTCTGAAAGCCGTGGTGCATGAGCCACAATTATTTAAGCACAATCCATTTAGTTGGTTTAAAAAAAAAAGAATCCCCACCGCAATCAATTCTCAGCAACATAAAAGACTAGGATAGCATAAACTATCCCTCAACAGACTTTAGATTTTCCAGTCAAACTTAAACTTGATCTATGAAACATGAAATAACAGCCAATTCATCAAACCTAATTCCTCATCCAAAAATATATGCATTGAAGATTGAAAACAATGGTCTCTCTGCCCAAAAACCTGAGGAACAGAAACTAACAGCAACGAACAAGAAACTTCAGAACTACAACTGAAAAGAGAAATATACACCATAAGTGGCAGTAGTGTGGCAGTTCTCTCTCACCAACTCCTATTTCTCTTGCCAATGGTACGTCACAAAATATGAAGGAAAGAAAAGATGGAAGTTTCAGCATTATTTTACTTTAACACAGTTAAAATCTAAAGAACACCAAAACATACAAAAGCATATGACTAGCCTCCACCATGGCCCACTACCCAGGAGCAAGATATCAGAGGAGCCCCCACCATGGCCACTACCCAGGAGCAAGATAGGGGCCCTAAATCATTGATCTCTAAGTCAACATAAAGTAATTTAAAAAAAAACCTAAAGATGATCCAGATGGAACATGTGCTAGCTGAATAAGCAGCAAACTTAAAAATCAGAGTAGATGATCTTTCTAACGAGCTAAATAGGCTGCTGAACATAATGCTGAACTGTCTCAGGATTAACTTTAGGAATTCTAGTTCGATTAGAAACTCAACTCTAATACTTCATAAGAGATTTGAGTCAATTAACTTTAAAATTTGAAACCTTTTATTACCAGCCATTTGGTTGTGACTGATACCTACATAATCTATGTCAAGCTATAATAAGCTAATTACTCCTTGACAGAGTATTTCAGATATTCTTTGTAAGTCTATTCTGTTGTTCTAGTTTTTTTTCCTTAGCCCCCTGCTACTTCCTCTACTTGATCTCCCTCTCTTGTTTCCTCTTCAGTTCCTATCATCTCTTTTTATTGCTCTCTTGTCTACATCAATTTGGCACCAAA